CTCGTCTCAAGAGCCTCGAGCAGGCTGCACTATCTTCGACTACTGACTAGACAGGGGATGAGTGTTGTTGACCTTGTTCAGATTTACCTGTCACTTATTCGCAGCGTTCTTGAATACGGCCACGTACTGCTGGTAGGTTGCAGCAAGGAACAATCGGACAGCATCGAACGTGTACAGAAACGGGCCCTCCGTATCATCTCTCTTGGCGGTAGACGATCAGTTCCTAACCTACCCTCCTTGAAGGAAAGAAGAGATGCAGCAGCTGTAAAACTCTTCAAGGACATGTTAAAACCGGAACATCCTTTGCATGACCTTGTGCCGCCCCAGAGATGTACAGCCACTGGCAGGCAATTAAGGAACAATCAGGAGTTTACGCTTCCGAAGGCCAGAACTGAACGTTTAAGGGGATCATTCCTACACATTGCAGTCAAACTATACAATAAGTCTGTTTCCTAGACTAAGCTTTGGATTCAGTGCTCTGTTTAATGTTGTAGCTAGCATTTGTGGTAGCCGCCTGCATATTGTTACCCAGCATATTGCATAAGTGTTGTAAAAAATGTACGCAATTCAGGGTATATGTATGATTGTATGTATCCCTGCTGATTGTATGTTTTGAGGAAGAGAATAAAATTTGAATTTGAGATATGTGGCGGAAATGAGTGATACCCGGTGGGCTGTAAATACATGGAAGTAAACCTCTGTAAGGATGGGGAATATGAGAGAGACGATGCGTACTGACTAACTCTGTCCTCTAAAACATATTGCAAGACGTCTAGGAAAGTGCAACATTTTGTTGATGGTATCCTGCCCACTCAGGCAATGGAAGGCCGGACAACACGGCTCCGTTTCTCATTATTGCGGGGGCCCGGTGAATGGCAGTCGCGGAAAACGTGTAATTTTTGGCGCCAGGCTGGAGGGTCGTGCGAGACGGAGAGAATGTGGCGGGAAACGCTAGCCTGTGATTACCCATGATTACCTGCGTCACCGAGGCGCCAGCTGCAGAGTCACCAATAGGAATCGAACGGAACAGACACCTGCTAAGTCTTAGGAGAATGTTCACACCTGTGTCTCAGCAGAAGGCCAAGGTTCAAGATTGAATATTTCTGTACACTGTTTTCCTGCAAGCAAAGCGACCCTTAAAATCAAGTGATAGACGCACGTACGCACCGCCGAACACACGCATAAAACTCACAATCCCTTATGAGGAAGAAAACGTCGCAAAATGGTAAACAGTGTTACAACTAAATCATCAGTACAGGAGTGATATGACTAGCATATGTGGCTCTGCATACCCCGGTTAATCCACTATTCCACATACGGGGTCAGTACTGTTTGCTTGTTTATTCACCTGTGGATGATCTGTACAAGATGCCCTCCGGTTTGTTGCGTATTCAAAATTAACACTGATGGACAGACAAAGCAGCTCAACAGGCTGAAGTTAACGAGTGGTGAATGTAATGGCGTCCTTCCACATGTCCCGCGGCTTCCTTCTGAACGCCGCGTTAACATAGATTTATAGCGCGACACATAGGGCGTAGGTCGTCCTACGATTTTCATGCTATAGGCTGACAGAGCCAAGCAGTGACATGGATCTAAGACGGCTTTACCTCGTAACAATACAGCTGGATTTTGCAGGATGAATGCATGGATATCCCAAGAATTCCCTCAGTTTGCGATCATGCGACTTATGTGATCGGGCCCTGAGTGAGTAATGCTATCTTATATCTACCGGTATGAGGCTCCTCAAGGTTGCAAAGTATACGCACAGGTGAATTAGTGGAGAACTACGTATGGGTAGTGGAGTGTGCCACTGTGGGCTAACTAGTGAACAATATAGATCTGAGACAATATAGCCCGAAGTGATGGGTTTGGCAAGAAAATTGGGGTCAGTTTTATTTGCTTGTGTATTCACCTGTACATGATTTGTGGAGAAAACGCTCCAGGCCCCCGGGCTTTCGCATGATTAGAATACCACCATTTCGCTAACTTGTAATAGATGTACGTGCGTGTAGTACTGTACTGCTGCAGTGTATAAGCAACAGAAGTTAGGAACAGCATGGCCGCTAGGTGGCGCAAATTCACAGTAAAATCGAGCTTGTGTGTTCTGTCCATGGTGCTGAATTGTTAATCCCCTAGTACAGGCTAGGCCTATTTTTGAGTATTAAGGGAAGCACTATCTGTCAGAAGGCTTTATACAACGCTCATTCTAATTTGGATAGGAAGAAGTAGTGCAAGCCGCTTTAGTTTCTTTTTTCAATGCGTTGCTTTACCTCTATATATTATGAAATGATGAAGTACATAACATTAAAACAAGGCCATTCCCACTGGACAAGGGTTCCCTATGACTTTTTTTTGACGTGTGTTTCATCCCCTGGATTTTCTGTGCTAGAGGTTACTCCCTACAACTTCTGTGCAGTGTTGTGTTTATCATTACTATGCAAAAAGTTCCAAGACGAAGATGTGTGTCCCCGAATACGCCTAAAACTCAGTCTTAGGCATCATGTCACTGTATCTTTCTACTAAAGTTTGTTAGAAAACAAAAGAGGCACAAGAATAGTGAAGTACAATGTACTACTCACCGCCCTCAAACAGACGTTTCTCGTCTTGCTCAATTGCCATCTTGGAGTTTGCGCCTCCATGCTGGGACTGCCACTAAATCTTGGTCAGCTGAGTACCATACAGAGTTAAATATCTTGATCAACGATCGACAGGTGGGAATGAGTTCGCATGTGTTTGTATTTTGCAATGTTCTAGCTTGATATCTAACCTTCATTGACAACACAAACCCCACTGTTGACTTGGAAGCATTGTTTATTGGCCTTACATTGAAATGGAGCAATACAAGGGGACAAGGTTCTTACTGGTCTGTGAAGTGTCACTTATCCAGTCTTTTGGTAGTAAATATATGAAGCACTTTGCAACAAAGTCTTAAGTCACACTGCTAGTAGGGCATCAACAATGCATCATTAATGCGCATCTCCAGTGTGCATGTACATCATCTTGCAATTAGTAAAACTACAATAATACATTTTAAATCATATATAATTGAGATATCTTTTAAATATAAAACAACACATACATTGTCATTATTGAATCACACAGTACCCATTGTTCGGTACATTGCAGCAAGCAGAAGCAGAAACCTAAAGTTGAGAAGAAACTAATTTTGAAAAAGTCTATTGTCTCCATGTTAGGTACAACCAACACAACCCTGTGTACTGAAATCCATAAAGGTGTTAACAATCCACTCATCTCCTCTCTATTGCCTGTATATGTGATGTTCCATAAAGAAACAAAGTTGACCTGTCATTTTTACTTACTGAGGTCTCCATAACTTACTGAGTAAAGTCACCTATATGTAATCTATATGGTTTCTGTAAATACCCAATTTCTCATCACATTGCCACTGAATGGGTATGTATTCATAAATAAACATACAATAACTTGCCTATTGTATTGAGTAGTGGCTGCAATCTTGGCTGCTGCTATTTTTCAATCTCTCGATATAAGGACGCTGGCATAGCCTTAGCCTCTATTCTTCTTTCACAAGTTTTTCTGTAGAATTTCAATCAACTTTTTTAATTGCTTCCAATGTAGAAATACACATTCCAAATGGAAATATAATCATTGGAACTTCAAATCAAGATTTATAAAAGGAAATGTTTTTTTTTTAATTTCCATGAGTTATTTTCAAATATTTTCAAACACAAGGTTCCAGATTTTGATAAAAATGTGGCCTCCAGACATAGCCTAAATCCTGACCATTCCCAATAGATTCCTTAACCCCCACCTACATATACTGGGGACAGATTCACTCACTAGTACTGATAAGGATTACAGCATGAGTCTGCAATTGGGGGGTAAAAAAGGCTGAACTAAGGCTTCTAGCAGCAGCATACGTTTCTTACCTACTACAGTATTTGTGGTAACATAAGGATGCATTTTACAATGCCTTTCATGGTTTAATCATACAATAATTGGCATGTTCACCTTTAGTCTACCAGGTCTCACATCTTTGCTATAATTGGTTCACTGAAAAAAGAGCAAAATAAACATTAAAAATGTATTGCAAATACCTTGCGGCCCTATGTTTGAACATCTGTGTAACTATATTAGAGTAAACCGTAAAACAACCATTTCAACCAATGGAAAGCATTGAACAATGGTAAGAGCCTTAATGTTGTCAAGTATTTTCCTATTGGCTGAGGGTCAAGTGGTATCATATCTATTGTTGTTAGATGTTGGATTTCTTCAAAGAAAACTAATAACTTTAAACAACAGAGGTAGCAATGCTTTTGACACTTAGAACTGGTTGAATTAACTGAGAGCAAATTTGAGCAGATTCTGCATTTACTACAATTGTATATACGTAATATACATATCAAAGTACATCTGACACACTTCAACTTTAATCAATAATATTATGGTAACAGCACCTGTTAGACAAATGCAAATGATCTTAATGATTACATATAATTTGATTACACATATTACACACATATTTAATTATATATGACTATACTTTGCCATCATTGATAATAACAGAAATGCTAAGAATATAAAAAAAAGTTTGACACAAGTTGTTGGCTAAAATATGCTTCATCTGTTTATTCTACATCTAATGTTCTTAGTTTGGCCCATACCATACATTTTCCTGTGAATTCGTCTCAGTTTCTTTGTTTTATCCAAGGCCACACCAATCCAATTTGCTGGTCCTCAGGCTTTTAAAGACATGCGTGTTTGCTTAACTAGAAAAACATAATCAAAACAAAGACTGGGGACCAGGTTTATGTCAGGTATCAACATAAACATGCATTGACTCAGAGGAAGAAAATACATTGTCTGACATATTCAAGTTTCCTGTCTGCCCTCTACCTTTATGATATCTGCTTGCTTTAAAATGTCTGAGAACAAGGGAAATAAATTGGCATGGCCTTAAAAGTGAATCATCTGACACCATCTTTGCATTTGTTCTGGAGAATATCACAACAGAAGGCAGTCTCAGCTATGTAACAATAACTGACAGTCTAGATGTGGCCACAATAGGGCTAAAAATCTTTCAATATTTGTTTTATGCCTCAATGTTCCTTAGCTTTCTGTCGCTCTCCTTAAATTGTTGTATTTTCTATCATATCAAACTCCTAATGTTCATCTTTTCCTTTCATTTCAAATCTTACAGGAGAGCACTTTTGAAAAAAAAAAAAACACCACCACACACTAATAATAAAATCAACAATTCCACCAGTTAAATGATCTGTCCCAACATGCTGTAATACAATATAACACAGCATGAGGCTGTCCCTTGAATTTGTTGCCTGTGTAGGTCCACAGAGCTTAGCTTTAACACACTACACTGATTTCACACTTCACTTAGCTCTTCTAATCAAAGCACTACCATCTAATGTCCGCTTTTTCTTTAACTTTTCTTAGAAATAGTGAGCATGAAACCACATCTGGTTCCTAAATACTGGTGGTGGTGTAACAGTTGTTCTATTGAGGCAGGTACCGAAGCTGAGATGAACACAAAGCTGGTGATAGTTAGTCTGTATACATGTGAAACACACAAAGGAGTGAGAGAGTTTAAAAGAGACATCATCTGTGTCAAAAGAGATGAGCTCGTTTCTTCAGCTCTGTTCTCCTCCAGGTTGCTAGACTGCTGAACTCCTCTCTAGTCATGTGGAACACTGCCTCAAAGTCTGCATCTGACATGTGCTTCTGAAATACACATCATTTGGGAAAAGTCAGTACCTGGCAACAAGACACTGTGACTATCACAAAGTCATGTTCCCCATAGTCTACATCAGACAAGTGCTTCTGAAATACAGACACGTCGGACACGTGCTTCTGAAATGTAGACATCTCATATGTGCCTACAAGAGGAATGTACACTTTAAGGTTGAGGAGGGTTCACTTTTCTAGATTATGTTTGTTTTTAAGAGGAATGTACATTTTGAAGATTGTACATTTTCGATTTGACTGGACCTGGTGAATCAACCAGGTGTTTACTATCTAACCAACTCCAGTCTCTGTCAAGAGATGGGCAGACCACTAGTACTATACACGTACTTCTGTGACTGCTCATTCCTTGACAAACACTGGAGATGGACAGTTGAAAATTTGATGCAGTGGAATTACAGTTCAACTTTGCTTCATGTTTGTCCAGCTAAGCTCACCTCTAACTTGGATCTGTCCACATCTGGTGGAAGCTTATAGTTTGTTGTCAGCAGCTCCACCACTGGGTATATCTGGAAAGTACAGAAATAAACAAAACCTAAGTACAAGTTGGGTCTGATTCTTTCACTACCTGCATTTATCTTCTGTTTTTGTTGCCCCCTAGCAGGGCAGTTTAGTACAAGCCTTTTTAAAATGTGAGTTCCAGTGTAAGACATACAACTATATTTTGTCACATGGACACATGAAGAGGGTGTAAGGATAAGGCATCTGTACGTAGTATTAGCTTCTTGATTGAGTTTTTTTAGAGCTTTTTTAAACTCAGTGTACACTGGTAAGCATCTTCACTCCATTCATTATCTGTTTATTTGTACCCACTATGATAATAAGATGGACTGTTGTGTGATCAATAAAAGATCAATAAAAAACAAAAAAGGATGAAACATGTAATTCTTTACAAAAAAGACTGCTATGCACTGGCCAATAGAAAATGTGAGATATGACTGACACAAGATAATTTTTAATAGGATTATATTCTAAGTAAGTCCTCTTTTTATCATACGTTGTCAAAGGCATCTACAGGGCTTCTATTGAAGCATTTAGCCACTGACAATATCTTCAGGACATAAGCTGATACTACAACAACTACACTCCAGTTTTATTGTTTAACAGGCCCAAACTATTATGACATGCATTGTTGTACAATATCTCATTTCTGGTGTTTCATCCATTTCCCACAGAAAAGATTACAGGTGAAATATGCTGCACTGCAGCATATGAACTCAGCTGTTTGGCAACATAATTTGTACTGGGATTTTAAATCAAACATGAAGACCCTAATCATTAAACGAAGATGAGTAACAGAAAAGTCTCAATTTTAGCAAAGAGTTAAACAGGGGGTATGGAAATGATGTCATGTGGTAAATATGTCTTAACATCTTTCTCTGAGAAAAGCCTGTTCACCATAGCTTGGGCCTGTGGAAGAGTTGTATTGTATCAGATTCTAGATGTAGTTATATGATTATCAGACACTATTTAAGCTAGAGCCATGTGTTAAGATGTGAGAGTACTACTACTCACTACTTGGTTATTTTGTCTAGTGTGTAGAAATGGGATCAGCAGCACAGCCACCACCCGAGGTGTCTCTCTACTCTACATGTGTGCAAGCGTTCCTGCCATGCGGTCTCAGGGTCCACAAATAAATCAACAAGCACAAATAAAGTAAAAAAACTGAACAAAGCTACCCTTTCCATGATCCACATTCTTCTTTATTCTCAATTTTTTCAAGCTATCAGGTGGAAAAATTTGTTGATGAAAGATTCTGAATCTGTACAGTTGAGTGTCTGTGTGACTCTATGTACCAGCTGATGTGACCGTGAGACCTGGAAGGAGGATGTGAGGGGTGTGTGGAGGATGTGTGGATAGAAGGGGTGTTTGACTGTGGGTGGGAGTAGGTACATTCTAGTGACATGTGGATGGGACTGGGTACAGGCTGGGGACATGTGGATGGGACTGGGTACAGGCTGGGGACATGTGGAAGGGACTGGGTACAGGCACAAGCTGTTGACTAAGTACAGGTACAGGTACAGGCTGAGGACAGACGAGTGTTGGGCATGATGGTTCAGCTCACCTTGGGTGGGCCCATGTCTGGAAGTGACTGACCTTTACTTCTCTGCAGTGATCCTAAATCACTGCCCGACACCTCCCGTGAGCGCACAGGGGAGCTGGAGTACTGAGCACACAACAAATGGGAACAAAGAAAGATGTTAGAACTTTCACTGATGCAGAAACTTGTCTTCACCAAACTGTTAAGGATACAGAATCTGATTGTCATGATCACCAATCAATCAAACTGGAAACTTGCAGGACAATCACAACACACGATATAAAAATGAAATCCCTCTGGCAACAATTCATTTGGAACTGCATATGACAAACATGACGGCCTTAAGTACATGTAGGTATATTGAAGACTTTGTAACAGTTAAAATGCATGCTTCAACCTTTAGCCTGCTAAGGTAGTGGTTTGGCAGCAAAGTTGTATTCAATGCAACCTGGCTTTTTTCCTTCATCCTTCCTGAAATCCACAATAGACAATGCAAATATGCAAAATACATGAAAATCATCAACAAAAGCACTTACTGCTGAGCTGTGGTCCAAGCTGGACTCTGTGGAAACAAAAGGCAGGTCAGCAATGACTAACTGATCTATGGTTGGGATATAGTACAAATCAACTATTACAGTACAACAATAGAGCCATGACGTGTACCTCTATCAGTCTATGGTACGGGTATAGTACAATTCAAACATGATGCAGAAAGTTTGTGGCATTCGTGGCTAGTTGTTGATAATACAATTTTTCCATTTATCACACACATTTTGAATGCACTAAAAGTGCAAATTCAATATTTGAAATGTTAACCAGCCTGGTATGATGACTTTTTGGTAGCATTTGGGTCTGTCACAGGTTGGTTTATCACTATTTCTTTTTTTTACTTTCAAATTTGCCTTCAGGCATTTACAGTGTATTTATCTGTCCATGTTATGCCTCTGGGCATTTATCTGTCAATGTTATGCCTCTTTATTGCACATGAATGTGCAATAAATATATAACATTAACATCATGAAGAACAGTCAAATCTGTACCAGTGACCACCTTAAATCAGACCACCTGGTCAGCATGACCAGATTTTGTAGGTCCTCTGTGTGGTCTCTTTGTGCAGGCTTGGCTGAAAACCAAGCTGTTATGACTTAAATCCTAAAGATGAAGTAAGTTCTTCAGTGTTACCTGAGGACTTACTGTGCAGCGCTCCTGGAGCCTCATTGTCCCAGTACGGACCAGACAGGCCCTGCAAAACACAGGGGAAAACCTATCAAACATGCCCCACCACCTTAACTGGCACACCAGACAAGCCATGCAGTTAGTACATGTGGGGTAATCTCCAGGCAGATCTTTTGGAAGCCAAGACAGTATCCCACAGGCTACTTTGTATACTACACAGTGCCCTTTGGATACAACCTTGCCAATTGGGTACTGTCTTGCCTCTTGGCTACCAAAAGGTCTGCTGAAAGATGACACGTGGGTGTCTTCCTGTAGTCTTACATGTATGTTATCAGGTCTTTGGGTGTGAGAGAATGGATGAGATCACAAACTCTGATTTAGTTATTTAGTTATTTAGGTTAGTTATTTATATATACATATATTGTGTATATCTGTCTCTTTTATGATTTGATTTGTCTTAATTTCTGAATATATGTTTAATTCTCTGTTACGTTACTATTTCTCTGTTACGTTACTATATCACCTATTTCTCCCATGTTTTATATTTCTTGAGCCACTTTGGAATTTTAAAAAAATAGTTCCGAAATATTTTGAAGATTAGATAAATAAGTAAATGAATAAACAATCAATTTGAAGATTTCAAAAGTGTCTGAAGGAAATCCCATTCTTCAGATGTTTTTAAACACAATGGTAACCACAGTCAGCTACATGTATATTACAACCATTGGCACCTCATACGAGTTAGACCCGAACTGAAAATGTTCCATACATGTACAATGTTTATGGCCTGGTGTTTTTAATAGCACACATCATATCAGTTGCAATACATATCCAAAAGTGTTGTATTTGCACAGCCAGGTTAGTATCAGCAATCTAGAACACATTTCTGAGGAGGTTTCTACACCAGGGGAGTCCTTGTTGAAGCAGAGGTGGTGAGAGTTAGCGTTGCACGGAATGTCCCGGTTAGTGTGCAGGGTTAGTGCTCATCCTAAACAACCACGACAAACCAGGAGGGTTAGGGGAAAATAAAAGAGTAAAAGGTTAACATTTGTCAGGCCATTCT